GGTTTAGATGATATTAACCGTCATTTCTCAACTACACCTCAGTTGGATCATCAAACCAAGTGTCAAACCTTGAGCTATATAGCTAGTCTAACCCACCCTGATATTAAATCCTTTGACTTTTCTCCGGTATCTTCTGAGGACATCAAAAAGATTATCCTATCCATTCGTTCCAATGCTGTGGGATGTGACGGTATCAGCCGTCGCATGATTGTTACCATCCTGGATCACGTTCTTCCAGCAATATCTCATATCATAAACTTTTCCCTTGACTCTGCAACCTTTCCCTCACTCTGGCGTAAGGCCTTCATCATTCCTTTACCCAAAAAAACTAACCCCTCTCTTCCCGAACACTTTCGACCAATTTCTATACTTCCCTTTCTTTCTAAAGTGCTAGAGGCCTGTGTACATAAGCAGCTCGCACAGTTTGTAAATCAGCAGAATCTTCTTAGTCCTTTACAATCTGGGTTCAGACCTGGTCACAGCACAACCACCGCTCTCCTCAAAGTGACAAGCGATATTAGGGAGGCTATGGAGGAGACTAAAGTCACAGTGCTGGCTTTGATTGATTTTTCGAATGCCTTTAATACCGTTAGTCATGACGTTCTACTGGCCATCCTTTCCTATCTTATGATCTCCTCAGAAGCTCTGGAATGGTTCTCCTCCTATCTTCAGGGACGACAACAGAGTGTTCATATTGATGACTTGTCGTCGAGTTGGTGTGATCTTCTCACTGGCGTCCCTCAAGGCGGTATATTATCTCCCTTATTATTCTCAATATTCATTAATCTCATAACCCAGCACCTTCAGTGTACGTATCACCTGTACGCTGATGACTTACAAGTGTACACACAGACAAGGGTTGAGGACATAACATACGCTATCGACAAAGTCAACAAGGACTTGGACTTTATAAAGAGCTGGTCAACGAGGTTTGGTTTGTCGGTAAATCCAACCAAATGTCAAGTGATCGTCGTGGGGAGCAAACAAATGATAAGTAGGTTGGATATGGCGGTCATCCCACCAGTTGTCTACAATAATGTGACTATACCTTATAGTGCAGTGGTAAAGAACCTGGGGTTATATATCGACTCGACACTTGACTGGCGGGCACAGGTTACACACGTCGGCCAGAAAGTCACCACATGTCTCCGTGCCTTATATCGATTGAAGAACTTCCTTCCCGCTAAAACTAAGGCTACGCTTATGCAATCCTTAATTATTCCCATAATCGACTATGGTGATGTGTGTTATTTCGACCTGAATGCAGACCTTCTCAATAAACTAGATCGCCTTCTCAATAACTGCATTCGATTCGTTTTCAATCTTCGCAAGTATGACCACGTGTCTGCTTTACGTTCCCAGCTGCAATGGCTCCCAATTCATCAGCGCCGCAGTTTACGAGCACTGACTTCTCTCTTTTCTTTCCTCAACTCTCCATCGTTACCTGAATACCTCGTACCCCACTTCCGTTTCCTATGCTCCAATCACGATCGAAATCTTCGATCAACCAACAATATGCTTCTTCTATGCCCCCCTCACACCTCTAACTTCATCAACTCCTCCTTCTACGTCCAGTCAGTCCTCCTCTGGAATGCCCTCCCTGCCGAAATCAGGATGTCAACAAATCGCCTCGCATTCAAGCGAAAAGTGCGCGATCTTCTTCGGGGTGAATTGGCGAAATAGTTACAGCTCTAGTTCCCGACTGAGTATTTATATATTTTATTAAATTTATGTAGGTTTATGTATGCATGTGTGTTTTTATATTGTGTATGTTTCTGGACCTAAATTATGTTAATTTCATATTTTATTTTGCACCTACCGCATCATATTTCTACATCACCTGAAGGTTGACTGGGAGAGAATGCCTAATGGCATTAAGTCCGCCTTTGTACAATATGTGCATCAAGTTTAAAATAAATAAATAAATAAATAAATAATGCAACCTCCACTGTGACAGGTATAAATTATCAGTCTTCTTATAGTACACAGTCTTGCCATCTCAATATTGAGTCTTATAACGGTGACTATAGGGTTTATTTGGACTGTCTTATTCTGCCTGTAATTACAAAGGTTTTGCCCACTTCCTATATCAAGACAGACAATATTCCTATTCCGTCAGGCCTTTTATTAGCTGACCCTACCTTTAATGTTCCGTCTGTAGTTGATATTTTACTTGGGGCTGAAACATTTTGGAGCGTCGTAGGCTCCTCTACGATTGACTTAGGCAAACAAATGCCAAAGTTATGTGAAACTAAATTCGGATGGATCGTATCCGGTCCGGTTTTCAAAGGAAATTTATCCTCTTCTCAACGCTCACATCTTTGTAATCTTGTCAATCCCATTGAGAAACCTGATCTGTCTAAATTCTGGGAACTCGATGCTGTTTCTCCAATGCACTCATTATCTCAGGAGGAAAGGGCGTGCGAGTTGAGCTTTACTCAGAAAACACTAAGAAACAAGGATGGTAGATTTATTGTTACAATGCCCTTGAAGACCACTCCAACAGTTTTAGGAGACTCGTACATCATGGCGAAACATCGCTTCTTTTCATTAGCGCGACGTTTTCAACGTGATCCTGACTACAAGGCTTAGTATGTTGACTTCATGGCAGAATGCGAATGCCTAGGTCACATGACTGAAAATGTTAACAAACCAGCACCACATTTAGGTCATGACGTTGAATACTTCATACCACACCATGGTATACTAAGAAAGACAAGCACCACTACTAAACTGAGGAGTGTATTTGATGCATCAGCTCCATCAACTTCAGGATTTTCCCTCAATGACCTTCAAGTGGTAGGTCACAAGGTACAGGATGAACTTTTATCGATTTTGTTGCGATTCCGGCAGCATAAATACGTGGAAAAGATGTATCGCTGCATCGAAGTAACTACCTCACAAAGGCCCCTCTCACAAATTATTTTTCGTAGTGACCCTGAAAAACCTCTTAAGACTTATAGCCTCAACACAGTCACGTATGGGACTGCGTCAGCTCCGTACCTAGCCACCAAATGTTTGGTGAGCTTAGCAGACGCGGCGTCCACTGCCAAAGTTAGGTCAGCAATAGCAAGAGACTTTTATGTTGATGATTATTTTGGTGGGGAGTCTTCTGTACCTGAGACTGTGGCACTTGTCAAAGAGGTAATACAAATTTTAGCCTCAGCTCATTTCTTTTTCAGAAAGTGGCAATCCAACTGCCCTGACATTCTGAAGGCCATTTTAGGTAATTCATATACTCAGGATAATCCCACTACATTAAATCTTTCAGAACACAACACGTCTGCGAAAACCCTAGGTCTAAACTGGTTGAGTAGCTCAGATTACTTATCGTTTTCTATAAATATTGACCATGTAGAAAAGGTCACAAAACGACACATCTTGTCATTAATTAGCCAAGTATTTGACCCTCTAGGCTTAGTCGGCCCTCGTATTGTTGAAGCAAAGGTAATCATGCAACGGCTATGGATCGATAAATGTGAGTGGGATGACAGGGTTTCTCTGGAGATTGATGGGATGTGGTCATCGTTTGTTTCAACGCTTCCTTATTTAAACAATTTAAAAATTCCTCGCTGGGTTTCTTTCGATGCGTCGGTGAAACATGAAATTCATGTTTTTTGTGATGCATCAGAGAAGGCGTATGGCGCTCGTGTTTATGTGCGATCCATAGGTTGCACCGGCTACCTTCGGGTTCGTCTTTTCCTGTCCAGGAACCGTATAGCACCGATAAAATCAATTATGATCCCACGGCTTGAACTTTGTGCCGCATTATTGGGGTGAAGACTGTGTACAACCCTTCTCGAGTCATTGACAATGCCAATCTCTCAGTGCTTCTTTTGGTGCGATTCGATGATCGTGCTTGGGTGTTTAAATACTCCTTCAAATCAACTCAAGCCATTTGTACGAAATCGAATAAATGAAATTATAGAAAATTCTAAAAGTCACAGCTATGTGCCGTCGAAAGACAATCCGGCAGACCTTGTCGAAAGCCGACTCAATCGGTGATAATGATCATAATGCAAAATCATGAGTGTTCACGCTTATTAAAACAATCTATCCACAGACAATCAAGAATCGATCTTTATGCGACGGACATTTTTATTTTTTTTGAAGGCAATATTTTTTCACTGCCACTCACAACTCATAGCTAAAATATTGTAGTAAACACGCAAATCATTACTTACGAAAATTCGTCTAGAATATACTGTAAATGTTATCTTAGACAATTATATCAACATTTTAAGTAAGAATAGAGGTTTTTATTTGATACGAAAACCTACAGTTTGTCGAATACTAGACAAATATTGGCGACCGTGACAATACAATTTTGCAAGAATCGGATCGAAGATAAGAACAAATAATTTTCAACAAAAGGTCAATCTACGCATATTTTCACTCTAAGAAGAATACATAGACGACTAAGCCATCCGTGAGGTTACCAAGCAGCAGGTTAGAAGCAGATTACCAAGCAACGCGCCCAGGCTTAGCACCTACGTCGAAATTTACCGTCACAATTGTTGGAAAAATTCCTAGCCATAAAATTGCAAGTAATTGGTGTACCTGCTATGATTCCTGCTGCAGCCTACAGAGAGGATCTATCAGTTAAGTGCCTATCCTTCATCCCACTTTAATATAAATCCTATTTCCATTATAAAGGTTGCAGTGAAGTACCTACACATTCTTGTGCTATTGTAAAATAGTTTAAAGTCAAGCTTATTCAATGAATCAAGTTAAGAGCTATAATTAATTAATTGCAATACTATAAACTTGTTTTTACATTTCTAACAGAGTTCTACCTTCTCAAACTAAACATAACAAAGAATTATTCTAAATAAAAGCGTACTAAATTCAGACTAAAACATACAAAACTGATTTGTATAGATTGTTTGACAATAAAGCATTATCTTATATCTACGCTACAATACGCTCTTATGGGTGTGACAGATATAGTGACTTAGATATAGACATATTTCTCAAATCATTTTGGCCGATAATTCCAGGTGCCAACCGTGCATCGCTCAGCTCGCTAAAGCGCTCGCTCACCGCAGACACTGCGCGCCCCTACGCGCCAGGGCCGCGCTCGCGGCCTCTGGTCACCCAGGTGCCACTGCTTAAGGAAATTACAGATAAGATTTTTACCTTTATCTTTATTCCTTCATTCTGCTGCTTCATTATTGCTATTCGTTATATTTTACTACTGCATACCTACTAGTTAAACTTAAATTACCTACCTACACTAAATTTATTATTACGACTAAGTTAATAAAATATTAGGAATGTCTGTATCAGGTGAAGACATGAACGTAAAACAGCTGAAGGAATTAGTTCTTAAACGTAGTTCCGTTAAGGGACGACTAATGAAGTTCAAAAAATATTTAGACATTGTTTGTTCATCGAAATTAACTAGGATGCAAGTTCAAGAGTTACAATGTAACGTTGATAAGATTCGATTAATGGCAAGCAAGTTTGACGAGCTACAGGGTCAAATTGAAGTTCTAAACTGCAATAATATGGACGGTGAGATTGATGAACGTGATGAAATTGAACAGAGCTTTGCCTCACACCTCGCCATTGCTCAAGGGCTTATAGCAAAGCACAGCCATACTTCTGATGGTTCTGATCAACTTAATTCATCACAATGTCATCACGATCAGTCATCGCACTGTCATAATGTTGAATTTAAGTTGCCACAAATACAAATTGCGAAATTCAGTGGGGAATATTTTCGCTGGCTCGAATTCCGAGATGTCTACTTGTCACTTATTCACAACAATGAACGCATCAAATCCGTCCACAAGTTTCATTACTTGGTCTCGTACCTGGAAGGTGAGGCAGCGCGAATTATTTCGAACCTTGTGATTTCTGAAACTAATTATGCAACCGCATGGCAACTGTTGTGTGATCGCTATGATAACAAACGACAACTCGTGAATCACCACCTTAATTCATTATTAAATATCGGCTCATTCACACGCGAGACCGACAAGTCACTGAGGTTTCTAGTTGACCATGTCACTAAAAATTTGCGAGCTTTATCTAGCTTAGGTCAACCTGTCGAGTACTGGGACACTTTAATTATTCATATAATTTCAACAAAACTGGATAGCCGTACTATTACCAAATGGGAGGAATATCGGAATAGCATACCTGACGTACCTTCTTTAAAGGAATTTAACAGGTTTCTAACTGATCGCGCCGATGTTCTAGAAACATTATATCATAATAAGCTAGATAAACCTAAGGTTGTTCAAACACAATCACGCCCTCCGGATAATAGTTCACGTAACACTAAATCCTTCACTTCCACATCTCAACATTCTGGTTCTCTCATCCATCGCTGTGCTGTCTGTAAAGGTGAGCATAGGATTTATGACTGCCCTATATTTATAAAAAAGAGTGTTCAAGAACGAAAGACTGAAGTAAATAAATTACGATTATGTCCCAACTGCTTGCGAGCCGGTCATAACGTACGCGATTGCAAATTAGGCCCATGTCGAGAGTGTAATCGTAGATACAATACTCTTCTACATTATCAGGCGGAGCTTAAGGGAGATAAGGCGAATTTAGACCATAATTCATCTGAAGTATCCGTCAATAACTCAATTAACTATACTAGCTATACAGAGACTCAAATTATATTGTCAACAGCCATGATTCATATTACAAATCCTCACACCAATCGCCAAGAAAAGGTACGCGCTCTATTAGACTGTGGTAGTCAAACGTCATTTATCACCCAGTCATTAATGAATAAGCTGTCATTAAAAATATGCCCAACAAATACAATCAACATTGTTGGCATAGGCAACAACTTAGCAGGTCAAATAAATAAAAGTTGCATTGCCCAATTAAGTTCACTGACAGAAAGCTACAGCGTAGTACAATCCTTTTACATTCTGAAAGAGTTAACCGGTACTATTCCTAAGCAATACATAGATATAAAACACCTCAATATACATAAGGACATACAGTTAGCTGATCCAAGGTTCAATCAACCATCGGTTGTAGATGTTCTAATAGGTGCAGATTTATTCTGGGATCTATTGGGGCATGATCAGCTAACACTGGGAACAGCCATGCCTAAACTACAAAGCTCAAAGTTGGGTTGGGTCGTCGCTGGACCAATTACAACTAAGTTCCCCAATCATTCATCATCAAAAAACGTTTTATGCAATATATCAATCAATGATGATAGTGAGTCTAACATTGATGCACAGCTGTCCAAGTTTTGGGAATTCGAACAGGTTCCTGAAAGATAGATAGATAGATAGATGACTCTTTATTTGCACACTAAATTACAGAGTTACAAGAAAAGAACACAGCGATCAAATATCGAGTGTACAAAGGGCGGCCTTATTGCTAAATGCAATTTCTTCCAGGCAACCTTAGGATGGATCAAAAGTTGCAGAGAGACAGTAGTAGTTGAATATCTGCATTTGTGAACCTACTATTAGTTTATTATTATCTACTATACATATTACATATACTACACATATTATATTATCTACAAACATTTACAATTTTATACTTACATCTACAATGCATATCACAATAAATAAACCTACATTTATATACGTACCTACATACTATACCAGCAAATATTCATATACACATACATGTATAAATACGCATTCTTAAATGAATAAACATATAGAAAAGAGAAAAAGTTTCGTTACACCCTCAAGCGTGATGGACTCAATTAAGGTGAATAAAATTCCTGTACCATTTTCTTAAATCTATTTATTGTTTGCGCCTGCCTGATGTTAAGCGGCAGTGCATTCCACAAGCGCACAGCTTCAACAGTGAAGGATTGATCATAAAATTTGGTGGAATGCAGTGGCATCTCCAGTTGTAAACTTACGGATGACCGCAGACATTTTTCGTGTGTGTCATTAAGGAACTTGAATCGTTCTTTGAGGTAGAAAGGGGTTTTGGGATTAAACAAAATGTTGTAAAGGAAAATAAGGATATGAGTATTCCGGCGAGAGCGAATTGGAAGCCACTTGAGCATTTGACGGAATTCAGAGACGTGATCGTATTTTCGTAAACCAAATACGAATCGTATACACATATTTTGTAGTCGCAAAATGAAGAGGGTTTAGCTTTTTTTGGAAGAGGGATTACTTGGGCATCTTTCCATGCAGATGGAAAAACACCGCTTGTGACGGAGTGATTAAGGATATTGCATAGGATAAGTAGAATTTCGTCAAGGATAGGAATAATCATATTTCGGCTGATGCAGTCACTTCCCACTGCGCTGGATGAGATCGCCAGAATGGTCTTCCTAACATCACAAGCGGACAACTGATCAAAGACGAGAGGTGGATAGTTGGGAGTAGGGGTAGTAGAAATATATCTAAGAGTATTAGCTTTTGTACTGTCACTAATGTCAGACGAGGCAGAGAAATGTTTATTGAGTAAGTCAATGTTGACATTTTTGGGAATAGGCTCTTGGTGAGACCTCCCGACTCCCAATGTTCTTAGAAATTTCCAGACTTTTGCTGGATCTCCGTTTTCTACGGAAGAGTGGATGTGTTGGCGTTGTGCGTTTCTACACATCTTATTGCAGAGATTTCTCAGGTACACATATTTTTCCAGGTTCGCTTCGGTTGGTCGACGCTTGTATTTGCTTTTCGCTATACATTTCCTGGACATAATGCTGCGTATCTCCTCAGTAAGCCATGGAGCCGGTAAATGTTTAAGTTTTATTGATCGCAAGGGCGCGTGGACGTTATAGATCTGTATCAAGTTATTTGTGAATATTTGGACTTTATCATTAACACACTGCGAATTTAACAAATTGTTCCAGTTGATGTTTCGCGCATCTTCCTTAAGTCTTACAAGATTCATCGCGCCAAAATTACGCTGCACAAGAATTCTCGGCTTTGCCTTGGGTGGTCGGATAGCATAAGAGAGAAATATCAAGTCATGATAGGAAAAAGCATCAGCGGAATACTGACCATGGCTGATGACATGATCAGTAGAAGAGACTAGGATAAGATCAAGAAGAGAGGGAGTGCAGTTAGGGAAGTGATGTGTAGCATCAAGTGTTAAGAGTGATAAGTTATTACAGTCCACAATTCTGCGTAGTGAAGAAGAGCGATGGTCATTTTTCAACAAGCAGGTATTGAAATCGCCCATTATTAATGTGTGGCTATAAGAGGGAGATAAGTTTTCTAGTAATTTTTCAAAAGAGGAAAAGTAAGTAGTACGTAACGAGGGAGAATAGTAAACACCAAGTAAAATCTTCGCATGATTAACTACTAGTTCTATAAAGAGGTGCTCGCCAGCGTCCGGTGATGGGGGCTGTGACGACATGTTTACAATGGTAAAGGGAATGTGCTGTCGCTGGTATATGCTAACACCACCCCCACCACCGATCGCACGGTCATTGCTTATGAGATTGAAACCAGGAAGAGTATATGGTGTAGAAGGTAGGCACGGTTTTAACCATGTCTCTGAAACTAAAATGGCGTGAATGTTTTTGCAATCAAAGGTCGCCAGCATATCAGGGAAATGAGCTGGAATACTCTGGGCATTGATATAGATATAGATATATGATATAGCATTAGAAAATTGGTACTGAAGATTCTCATGGAGTGAGGGTATACTAACGTAACTAGAATCAAGACTGTTTATCGAGTAAAAACTGTCATCATCATTATTGTCCAAGTCAGACATAAAGTTGACTCAAGAATATATAAGTAAACTAATAGAGCAATAATGTTCAATAAATAATATATGAATAGTAGTATTAAAAAAAAAAAAAAATTATGATCCACCCGCCAGTCGTGTGTTTTACATTTAAAAATTACTGGAAGATATTAACTAAATAAAAGTAATCATAAAAAGAAAAGAAAACAAAAACAAAAGGAAGCAAAATTGTGTCACAATTTTCTGGGCGAACTTCCCGTTCAAAAGACTTTGTTTCAAACTTACAACTAATCAGTGACAAACAATAGTGTTGCAGAAAAATATGCGACCTGGAACGCAATTTGACTTTCTTTGACACTTGACAGCTATTTTTGTTTTGAGATTTTTAAACAAAGGTAGATCAACAAAATAAATGTGTTCGGCTGGTTTAATGATGTTGAACAGAATTATTTGATGATTAC